GGTTTGGAGGGACACTGGGGTAACCCCAAGGTGCTCAGTTCTGAGTGACCCCAGGGTTTTGGGGTGACCCTGGGGTGACTCTGGGGTTTAAGGTGACCCTGGAGTGGTCCAGGGTGCCCAGCTCTGGGTGGTCTCAGGATTTGGAAGGACCCTGGGGCATCCCTGGGGTGCCCAGTTGTGGGTGACCCCAGGGTTTTGGGGTGTCTGCATGGCCCTGGGGTGCCCATTTGTCCATGTCCAGCAGCAGCAGCTGGTGCCCCATTTGGGCATTTGGGTCCTGAGTGGGTGTGTGGGTGACCAGGGACACAAGGCTGGGGTGTTTTAGTCACCCCAGAGTGCCCAATTTGGGGTGTCCAGGTGGTCCCTGGGTGCTCAATTTGGGGTGTCTGGATGGTCCCAGAGTGCTCAGTTTGGGGTGTTTGGGTGGCCTCAGGGTGCCAAATTTGTAGCATCTATGTGGCCCCAATGTGCCCAGTCTGGAGTATCTGAGTGGTCCCACTGTGCCCAGTTCAGGTGGGGCTGTGGGTGCTGGGACAGGGAGGATCTGCCCCCGAGTGGGGGGTGCTGAGCCCATTCCCAGCCCCCCTGCCCCTCAGTCCAGGCCCTGAGGCTCAGGAAGCGTTGGGTGAGCTTTATTGCTGGTGCAGTGGCTGGGGTGGCGCACAACCGTACAAATCGAGGTGTCACAACAGGAAGGCACTGGGGGCAGGGGGGATGGCCCCAAACCCACCAGCCCCTCGAGCTGGTGCTGTCCCTGCTCCCCCCGGGGAGGATTTGGTTTCTGGGGGCTCTGAGAGTCCCCAAGCAGTGGTCAGGGGGTGCCCAGGATGAGATGCTCTGAGCCCCCAGCCCTGGCTCCCTGTGTCCCACCACCTCTGTCCCCTCCATCTCTGGCTGCTCCCTTCTCCAACGCCCCCATCCCACCTGCACCCCACAACCCTGCACCCACTGCTGTGCCTGAACCCCAAACCTCTCAGCCCCCCAGAGAGGCCTCGTGGTGGGACAAGCTGTGAACACGATGTTCATGGTGGGACATGATGTTCTGGGTGTCTCCTGCTTCCTCCCAAGGCTGGGGGTGCCCCTGCTCACCCCAGGCTGGACCCTGGATGGGGGTGCTAAGCCCCTTCATGGCTCTCCAAGGGGGTTATCCCATGAGGATCATCTCTGTGGGTCCCTGCTGTGTCCTTGGCATCTCCAACCAGAGCAGGGCTCGGTGCTGGCAGAAGAAAGAGCTTGAAGGCTTCACAACCATCACAGAAATAAATACAACGTCCTCCATCGTGTCCTGCGGGGCCTGTCCTGGTCCCCGTGGCCCAGAGAGGTCCCTGCTCCTCCAGTGGTCACTGCAGGTCCCCAAGGGTTGGCATGGAAACAGCCACGAGGAAGGGAAGTGTCCGGGGATGTGCCGTGGGCTGCGGGGGAAAGTCCTCCCGGTCCCTATTGCAGCAGCTTCGGCAACTCCACCTGGGGGAGAACATCCACAGCAGGATGAACGTCAGGGGGAGCAATGGGAGAGGGTGTGGGAACGGTCCTGCCGTGGCAGAGTGCCCAGAAATATCCTCCCTTTTCCCTGGGGGGATGCTCCAGGGACATTCAGGGCATGGTTAGATGGATACTGGGAAGGAATTCCTCCCTGGGAGGCACTGGCACAGGTTGCCCAGAGCAGCTGTGGCTGCTCCATCCCTGGTAGTGTTCCAGGCCAGGCTGGACAAGGCTTGGAGCAACCTGGGCTGGTGGAAGGTGTCCCTGTCCATGGCAGGGGATGGCACTGGGTGGTCCTGTAGGTCTCTGCCATCCCAACCAATTCCAGGATTCTGGAGACTCTCTGGAGCCAGGCTGGGAGACCTGGGGGTGTCCAGCCTGGAGAAGAGAAGCTCCAGGGAGACCTCAGTGCCCCTTCTAGTGCCTAAAGGAGCTCCAAGAGAGCTGCAGAAGGACTTGGGACAAGGGATGGAGGGATAAGACACAGGAAATGGCTTCCCACTGCCAGAGGGCAGGGACAGATGGGATATTGGGAAGGAATTCCTCCCTGTGAGGTGCTGAGGCACTGGCACAGGTTGCCCAGAGCAGCTGTGGCGGCTCCATCCCTGGGAGTGTTCCAGGCCAGATTGGACAGGGCTTGGAGCCACCTGTGCTGGTGGGAGGTGTCCCTGCCCATGGCAGGGGGTTGGAATGAGAAGATCTCTAAGTTCTCTTCCAACCCCAAACATTCCAGGATTCCATGACCTCTTTTTCTCTCTGGGCCAGACTGAGACACTCAGGGACACAAACCACCTGCAATGAGTGAGATGTTTCAAGGCCCCATGCTGGGACCAGTGTTGGAGGCACATCCTCTCCAGCCACCCTGGGCCACCTCCTGCCCCAGGGGTGAGGCCTCAGCCACACCAATACAGCAACAAGAACTCAGTGAGTCACAGCTTAAAGCTGACTCCTTCCTTGTGTGCCAACCTGGATCCTGGTGGACCTGTCCACTCCAGGAACTCTGCCAAGGGATAGATCTTCTCCTGTCAGATGCTCTGCCAAGGGATGGACCTGCTGATCCCACCTGATCTACAGGGATAGTGCTAAAGGATGGATCTGCCACCCCATGTGTTCTACCAAGGAATGGACCTGCTGATCTCATCTGATCTCCAGGGATGGTGCTAAGGGATGGATCTGCCACACCTGTGTTCTACCAAGGGATGGACCTGCTGATATCATCTGATCACCAGGGATGGTACTAAAGGATGGATCTGCCTACCATGTATGTCCTGCAAGGGATGGATCTGCTGATCCCACCTGCTCAGCAGAGCTGGGGCTGAAGGATGGATCTCCCACCCCATGTGCTCAGAAAAAGGATGGATCTGCCCCTGCACAGGAACTGGGACCATGAACACCCCACCCTGGAGGACAACCCTCACCTCTCCACTGCCCAAGTGACAACAGCCATGACCCTCAGCCCACAGGTGGACCCCACTGTGACCCCACACTTGCCTTCTTGAGCTGTTTGAGGTTGCTGTTGCGGATGGCTGCCAGGAGCTGGTCCCGTGAGTTCTTCTCCTGGCCTGGCAGTGCTTTGTCTCCCAACTTCCTCTGGGTGGCTGGAGAGAGGGAGTTCTTCAGGTTCTCATTGATCATCAATGGTGGAGCAAGTGGAGGAGGAGGTGGGGGTGGAGCAGCAGGTGCTCCCCCTTTCTTGGGAGAGTTTTTGGGGGAACCCTTGGGTGATGGCTGTGGGGATGCCTTGGGTGACCCCTTTGGCAGTGCTCCAGCCTTGGGCACCTCCAGGAGGTCCTTCTTCTCGCCCTTCTCCTGGGCCAATTTCTGCTCCTGGAGGCGTTTCTGCCTCTGCCTGTCCATGTTGCGGCTCAGCAGGTTGGTGACAGTCATGCGTGGCCCTGCCAGCTCGAAGTGGTAGCCCAACTTCAGCAATGTGGTGTTCTCCTTCAGCAGCTTGGCTATCTCCATCTCTGTCTTCCCCCCACAGATGTGTCTCTGGTTGTGGAACCTCAACTCTGTCAGGGTGTTGTTCTGCAGCAATGCCCTGAAGATGGCCAAGATGCCTTTGCCTGTGATGTGGTTGGAGTCCAGGTTGATGCTGGTCAACACCTTGTTGGACTTGAGCATGATGGAGATGGCAAAGGCCACGTGGTCATCAGCACGAGTGTTGGCCAAGGCAAACACCTTGACCACGGTGTTGAACTCCAGGGCCTCGGTGAAGCGCACCAGGGTCTCGTTGTTGATGCAGTCCGAGTTGTTGACATTGACCTCGGTGACCTCAGCGTCGTTGTTCTTCACCTTCTCGATGAGCTCGTCGAAAATGCTGGAGGCTTCATCCTCCTTGGCCTGATCTGTGGACGTGGGCTTGGAGGGGCTGCTGCCAGCTCCAGCCTTGGCCTCCTGCTTCTTCTCCACCACCTTTTCTGCCTCTGCTTTGGGTTTCTCCTCCTCTGCCTTGGATTTGTTCCCAGCTGATCCCTTTTCCTCTTTTTTTTCCTCCTTTTCATTCTTACCTTCTCCCCCTGTGTCTTTCTCTGCCTGTTTCTTTGGGTCTGAACTCTTCTCCTCCTCCTTTTTGTCCTTCCCTGTGTCCTTCTTGGATGCTGAATCCTTTTCTTCTTCCTTTTTGTCCTTCTCTGTCTCCTTCTTTGCTGATGAGCTCTTCTCTTCCTCCTTTTTATCCTTTTTATCCTTCCCTGCTTCCTTGTTTTTTAAATCCAGGCCCTTCTCTTCCTCCTCCTTTTTATCCTTCCCTTCATCCTTCTTGGATGCTGAGCTCTTCTCCTCCTTGTCCTTCCCTGTGTCCTTCTTCAAGGCCGAACCCTTCTCTTCCTCCTTCTTGTCCTTCCCCAGCAGCTTCTTCTCCATGGCCTTGACTTTATCATTGATGACTTTGTCTTCTTTGCTCTTGGGCTCAGCCTCAGCTTTCCCTTTGGTGTCTATTTTCTGAACACTTTCCTCCTTTTTAGAGTCTTTTCCCCCTTTGCTGTCTTTTTTCCTCTCCAGGTCTTTAGAAGGAGGTTCCTTTACCTTTTCTTCTTCATTCTTGTCTCCCTTATTCTTGCTCAACCTGCTTTCCTGAGGAGAGAAAACAGCTGGATGTTAGACACAGGTCCCTTCAACCTCCAGATGTGCCACCCCAGCCTCACTGTCACCAAATCTGTACCTCTGCCACACAGGAGCACCCACAGATGTGCAGGAGGACACAGGTTTGGTCTCAAGAACGTCTTAGACCACACCTGAGAGGGATGAGCTGCCCTGAACCTAGTGGTTCCCCACTGAGAACATCATGCAAGGTCCCAGGAGGCACCAGGGAGGTGCCATGGGGCCACAAGGACAGTTTGCACCAGGTTTGTGCCACAGCAGGGGGCAGATTCATGGAGAGGTCACTTCAGGTGGGTCAGCAACCTACTCCAAGTCTTGGTGCATGATTTGGGTCACCTGGACAAGCCATGCAGCCTCCAGAAGGGACAGGCAGAGGCAAAGCAAGGGCAGGATGAGGCAGAGAAGGAATGGGATTGTCCTAGAAAATGAGATGTGCAACAGTGCCCACTCGGGTGATGTGGTATCTTCCCACTGCCAGAGGGCAGGGATGGATGGGATATTGGGAAGGAATTCCTCCCTGTGAGGTGCTGAGGCACTGGGATGGATTTCCCAGAGCAGCCCTGGCTGCTCCATCCCTGAGAGTGTTCCAGGCCAGGTTGGACAGGGCTTGGAGCAACCTGGGCTGGTGGAAAGTGTCCCTGCCCATGGCAGGGGGTGGGATAGGATGATCTTTAAGGTCCTTCCAACCCAACTGAGTCTGGAATTCCATGCCATGAGACACCTCCACTCCCATGGAGAGGAGCCAACGTTGCCAACAGGTAACTGAAGGCACTCAGACCTCTGACCCTGGGACCAAGTTTGCTAAACAGAGGAGTATCCCACCATAAATTCCGCATCAGGGTTTGGCAATTTAAACGTTCTTTTCCCTTCTCCACAGCTGAGGAACCCACAGCTCCTGCTCCTCACCATCTTTGGCTCATCATCTTTGCCAAGAGGAGTTTAGGCCTCCAGAGAAAGGAGGAAAGAGGATGCTGCTGGGAGATGCAGTTGTGATGCCTTTATGATGTCTCTGGACCATCTCGGGGCTAGGACAGTACTGTGGCTTCACTCAGTGCCTGGAACCCTCAAATGTGAGTTCAGACCCCACAATGTGCAGTCAGAGCTGGTCTCCTCCTCCAGGTGATGCCCTGGTCATGGTGTCTTCCCCATCCACCACCCTGTGGTGTCCATGCTGGGCAGTGTGTGACTCTGCCTTCCTAGTACACAGCATTTCTGGCCCTCAGGGCCTGATTTCTTGTGGAAAGATCTGTCCTGGCTGTGAGCAGAGCAGCCCTGGGGACTGTTTGTACCTGGCATGTAAACAGATGCCATCAGGGATGAGGAAGATGTTTATTTAGTTAAGAGATTTTTTGGCTCCTCTGTACAGACCCAAACAGGCACAGGAAGGCACATGCCAGACCCTACAGAGCCCATCTGGGTGTCCTCACACTACTGCTACCAACATCAAGGGTCAAGGAAGGCACTTGACAGACCCTACAGATCTCATCTGGGTGTCCTCACACCACTGCTGCCAACCCCAAGGGTCAGGGAAGGCATATGACAAACCCTACAGGGTCCATCTGGGTGTCCTCACATTACTGCTGCCAACCCCAAGGGTCAGGGAAGGCACATGCCAGACCCTACAGGATACATCTGGGTGTCCTCACACCACAGCTGCCAACCCCAAGGATCAGGGATGGGGCTCCCAGGGGTGCCCCAATGTCAGCACCTCCCTGTCCTGGGAGCTGCAGGTGGTGTCACCTTCTGGCATAGAGCTGGTGGTCCTCCTCACTGAGAGGTGTCCCAGGGCTAGCATGCTGTAAGGATGCTCAGTGACATCCCAAAGTACCTCAGTGGAGGAAGAGCCAGGTCAGGGTGCTGGGCAGGAGGAGTGTGTGGAATGAGGAATGCTGTCCCACCACCCCTGCCCATGGTGGCTCTCAAAAGTGTCCCAGGGGTGTGTACTCCTGTCCATCTCCATCCCTTGGTGGAGACTGGGGACATCCCTAAAGCCATGTCAGACCCTACTCTGGGCCCTGCTCGAGGCCACATGTGTGCCCAGGAGGGAATGTCCTTTCGTCCCCTCCTGCCCTCACACCCATCCCTGTGCTCTCAGTGTGTCTCACCACCTCAGTCCCTCTGCAGGTGCCATCCCTGGGTGGTGACACCAGCCCAGTACTGGTGATGGTGCCAAAGACCTCATCTCCAGGCTGGAAGTGCAGCTCTTGGAGCTCAGCAGCAGATTTGAGTGCAGGGGATGAAGGAGAGAGAAATTGTAGCATCATGGTGTGTTAAGGCATTGGAATGGACCTTAAGAGAGCATCTAGTTCCAACCCCCTGCCCTGGGCAGGGACACCTCCCACCAGAGCAGGTTGCTCAAGGCTTTAGCCAACCTGGAATGAACATTGCCAGGGCTGGGGCAGCCACAACCTCCTTGGGGCAACCACAGTCTCTCTGGGGCATCCACAACCTCGTTGGGGCAACCACAACCTCTGCATCCACAA